TTATTTCTGTAGAATGAAGATAAATCCTAACCCAGAATGTTGTTGCAGAGTTCATGAAATAACATCTACAACCCAGAAAAATAAGCGACTATAAACATTCTATATTCTGTAAACATTAAAAAAAACAAGATTGCCCCAGCCACTGTCGCTCAGTTGGTTGGGTGTTGCCCTGCAAACCCAAAGGTCCCTGGTTAGATTTCCAGTCAAGGTACATGTCTGGGTTGCAGGTTTAGCCTCCAGTCAAGGCGTTTATGGGAGACAGCCAATCAATGTTCCTCTCTCACATTGATGTTTCTCTCACTCTTTCTCATTCCCTCCCCTTTTCTCTAAAATCAAAACCAGAAATAAAAAGCCAATATTAAAATGTTTTAAAGGATGAAATAAGGCCATTGTGTACCACAGTGACCTCTGATCATGGCTTCCATTAAGTAACATTATAAGTGTGGTTTCATTAATGTGGGAAGTTGAAGTTGGATACAGTTTATGAGTCCAAGATGAATAAGCCTGCTTTGTTTTAGCTCTCTTATTCATATATAATGAAGATCTCTGTTGGTATATCTTGTTGTAGTTTGACTTTCTATGATTGGAAAATGGACTTTGAGAAAGTCAAACCTGGGTTTGAGTTATGAATCCCTACCTCCTTTGTTGAAGCTCCTGGAAGATAATCCATATAGAATAAATTCCATAGTTCTCGAACCCGTCATCCACTTTGAAAATGTAAAATAGTTAGAGAATAAGGAGGGAATGAGGTATTTGTGATCATACTTCTTTGTAGAAGAATAGGAAAAGATACCATGACTTTCCTCACAAGCTAAGAGAGGGGAGTTCAAAGGGACCATGCAAATATTATTTTTATTCGCATTAACAAGATGTGAGTGAAACAATACAAACATATGCAGTAACTGCATTGTAAACATTTTCCCCAGAACATTCTTAAATCTCAAGTAGACAATCAACAAAACAATAGATCAAATTGTTATTTGTGGTACCTACCAATTTTGGAGGTATAAATTTTCCCACCACAGTGAATTTCAAGCTACCAACAGGCTGTCACTGAATGTGGAGTAAGAAACAGGTGTGCGGTAGCATGCCATTATATGGTATCTCCACCAGCTAGATACAATACATGTAAATAGCCTCAAGAGCATAGATAATAATAAAAGGTATTTAAATAATCAGGAAATGATTTTTGACTATTTATTTGATTAGTTTGAATATGATTTCAATGTAAGTTTATATAATTCAATATTTAATAATTTCTGTGTTTAAAAACTACCTATAAAATTCCTGAAAATTTAACAAGAGGCTCTCTTACGAATCAGAATAAGCCACCTCCTGTATACCATTGACTTTAAGTACATTGAAAATATAGCCTTTACCACCCTAGCTGTACAATCACTCTCAAATCACTAAAATATAGATTTTCCTTTCTGTGAAGACAGTAGTGACCTTTGCAATAGGAATCTCCTCTTTCCTTCATCCAGTGGATACTTTTCAGTCCTAATCCTTCCTGATTATCTGTAAGAAATGACACTATCAGTCTCTTCCTTGAAACCTTCTTGTCACTAATTTTTTCAGTCTCTCTTCATCTTTCCTCTGACTATTCCTTAACACTACTTCACATGCCCTCCTTTCTCCATTGAGTCCTTCAATTGTTGATGTTTCTGCGCATTCTTAGCCCTCACACCTTCTCACACACCTCACATCTCCTCGAAGCCTCATCAGCTCTGCTGTCACTTACATGCAGTCAACTCCAAGTCTATAGCCCCAATCCAAAATTCTCTCCTAGTCTCCTCATATCTACACCCAAATTTACAAATGTTCCATGATGTATTTTTACTCTAGGTCCCACATAAATTTCAAACTCAAAACGTCCATAACGTACAGTTTTTTTCTTTTGAAGTTTACTTTCCCCTTTCAACTCAGTATTTTGCAGGTTGCACCATTAATGAAATTACCTAACCAAAACCCCCGATGTCATTCTTTATTCTTCTTTCTTTCATATATTCCTCACATGCCAGACCCTAGCTCCTTTAAGTCTGACCCTAATATCTCTACCAACTATTGCTTCTCTCTATATTCACTGCCACTGACAAAACTTAGGCCTCACTTTTCTAATAACCTTTGAATGTTCTAATTCTGATTCAATCAACACAGTGATGCCTCTACAGTCTTTTTAAATCAAGATCCATTAATAGCTCCTAATTGCCTGAGATCGATGGTTCTTAATTGTGGCTGGACAACAGAGTTATCTGCAGAGGTTTTTTCAACAAACTTTATAAATGTATAGTTTACATATAATAAAGTGCATTCCTTCTAAGTAAATCGCTCAGTGTGGCTTTAACAAATGTATATGCCTGTGTGATTGCCACCACAATCAAGAAACAAAAGATTTCCATCACCTCAAGAGGTTCCCATATGTCACTTTTTCAGTCAAACTTCCCAAGCTTATTCGGCCCCAAAGAAACAATCTCAAAACAACTGGTAAGAAAAAAATTCTGAGGTGTTCTTAGTTTAATGACAGCAGGCTTGAGAATGGGGGAGAGAGATAAGGAGGTTAACCAGTTAACCTCCCTGGGCAGAAACAAGATTGCGCATTCCTAAATGTAAGCTGAAACTTTTAAGCAACTTTCAGCTGACTATTTCAGGGATCATCTAGAGGAAAGAGCTAAACATCAGAGGCCACCACATCTTGCTTGTGCATGAACTTTCCAGACTGTGGCCCACAGGCAATCCAAAAGTAGCAAATATTTCTTCCTTAAGGACTATTTACCTGTCCCAGAACTGTCTCCACTTCACCTTTTCCCATCCCTATTATCAACAGCCCATGTAATTCTTTCAAAAGAACTTACATCTTTCTTCCCCAAATTCACTGTGTAAGAAAACACTGATTGCTGCAGTACAATCTGTCTGGCTTTCCCAGCTAGCCCTTGCTGGTGGTTAAGATGGCATTCCCCAGTACCTCGTCCTTTTTCTGGCTAGCACATGGATCAATAAACCCTTTTATTTTTTCTTTTTTTCTTTTTCTTCCAGAAAAGCTCTAGGCCACAAAAATTTTTGTTTAACACAACCACCAACTTTCCAACAGTAAAGTTTAGTCTTGCCTATTCTAGAATTTCCTATAAATTGAGTAAGACAGTATTTACCCTTTTGCATGTGGATTCTTTTACTCAAGACAATGTCTTTGAAGTTCATCCATGGTGTATGATTTCTTCCTTTTTACTCTTGAGTAGTGTTTCATTTTATGAATTTATCAAAATGTTATCTATTGTTTATTGATTTGTTATTTCCAGTTTGGGGCTATTCTGATTAAAGCTTCTATGAACATTTGGGTATAAATATTTTTGTAAGTATATGTATTTTCATTTTCCTTGGGTCTGCACTTAACAGTGGAAGTGTTAGATCTTATGACACCTGAATATTTCACATTAAAGGAAACTGTCTAACTATCTTCTAAAGTAGCTACACAATTCTTCATACCCACTGCATTGTAGGAGAGTTTCAGGCAGAAAGCCACAGCAAACACAGCTCATCTTGCTTCTTTCCCTTCTCTGGCAAATCATAGACCTCTACTGTCTGTTATTCAAATGTCTGAAAACAGTTGTTTCATATTTTTGTCTAGTTTTTTTATTTGTTGGGAGTGGGATGGCAAGTTCAGTTCCAGGCACACTCTCTTTGGCAGAGCCAGAGTCCATTTGGAGAGCACTTTAAAAAAGATAATGCCTGAGTTCTACCATATGCTAATTAAATCTGAGTACCTGTGGGAAAGGGGGAAGAGAAGTGAGTTCTGATGTGCAGTAACAATGTTTGAGAATCACTGGCCCAGAGATAATGTTTAATTTCTTCACTAAGTCAAGTTCCTTCAGAATCTGTCCCAAGCCTACTCTGCAGCCTAGATCCACACCCCTCCCACCCCCAAACCATCTTTTGTCAGTTTTCCTAAACCTTAAGCACGCAGTCGTTCATCAACACGCACATTATATTTCTATGCTTTTTTCTATGGTGCATTTTGGTCCACAGTCTACTGAAAATATTTATCCTTTAAGGTTCAGCCAAAATATCATTGGCTCTATGGGATATAAAAAAGATCCAGGAATTTCTAGGGCAGACTGTTGTACTAAAAAAAAATACTGGGACAAGAAATGCAAGTTTTACTATCTGGTACCGTCATTTACAGCAGGTAAAAATTTAGTCATCATCTAGTTTTCTCAGGCCTAACATGGTGATAACAATACTTATCTTGCAGAGAGATAAATGAGATTACACAGGGAATGCACCAAGCATGGTGCACACAGTAGGCACCGACAGAATACTTCCCTTTACACCCCACATTCCACTCATAACATTTCCTGCAAAGCTCCATTGCAAAATGCGTTTTATTTTCTGTTCACGTCACTCTTTTCCCCACCAGATGGTGAGTTTTTATATTGAGCGGGACTACTCTTTATTTTTGCATCCAGGGGATGTAAAGAGCCTGGAATAAGACAGGAGTTTAAATAAACTTCAGATTAGGAAGGATTTAGTAGTCTTTAGGTCTGATTGCATAAACCTCAGATCAATGAGGAGGATTTAGTAGTCTATAGCTCTGATGCAAAGAGCATTTACGAGGTTCTTTATTCTCAACACCAACTCACGCCTTAGGGCGACAGGCCACACAGTCCTTGGTAGGAAAGACTAAAAGATTTGAACTACAATCTTGCTTAGATAAACTTGCAAAGGCCATTCTCATTGTTAAAAGAACCTGCAAGTCCATGCTGCCCCTAGGGCGGCTTACAGCACTTTCACACTTGTCGCAGAGGAAACAAGGACTCACGCAGAGACTTCTCTGTGGAGAAATTGTCTTGAACCAATTTAATTCCCTTTCGAGGGAAAAAACGGTTTAGGAGAGGTGGGCTGGCGCCGGAAAAGAAGGGTGGGCACGAACTCGGGAGGAAGCAAGGGCGCGCGGGGACCGCCTCTTGCGGTTGCCAAGCAACCGGTCCCGGAAGTCGCGGGAGGCAAGTCAGCCGCAGGCGCTGGCGAGCGGGTCAAAGATGGCGGAAGGCGGAGACGCAGTGCCAGGCGAGCGCGACAGGTCTTCTGGGCCCCGGCCCCCGAGCGCGCGCGACTTGCAGGTGCGGCGAGCGCCCGAGGGCGGCAGAGCGGGGCGCGGGCGGGGGCGTGTGGGAGGCCGTCTCTGGCCTTCCCCAGATCCGACCTGGGGACGGAATTACGACCCAGGGAGGCACAGCGTACACTAGTGTGCCTGGAAACAAGTGCCCATTTCCCCTTTACCCCCCTTGCAATTGAGGAACCAACTGTTCATTTAGAATGTCATTTTGTGGGGTCGGTTGAGTGGCTCACAGGCTGATTCTTCGGGAGACTTGCGGAGGAAAGCTTTACTGTGGCCGTAGGGGAAATCAGTGATCACTTTTAAAAGTGGTAACAGGTGTGCCGTTTTGATCTTTGTTTTGGCTGGTGTTTCTGTCGTGATTTCTTGTATATAAAAATGTTTTGTTTTGTTTTGTTTTTTTAATCAGGTAGCTTTTCCCTTTTAAAGGGGTGAACCGAAGTATTTCATCCTACAGCAGCACAGCCTAGTTGTAAAAGCTACAGTCTGTAAAACATTGCAGCTAAAAAACCGGGAAATAAAACTACGATGTTGTAGGACACTGACATTAGGTAACTACTAAATAAGAATGATCAAATTTTGCTTTAGCAGATGCTTAACACTACTTTGCTCATTTTAGGCTTTCTCTCTGTTTCCTTATAAGGTCATTGATAAAATTCAAGTGACTATGTATAGGAGCTATAATTAAACATAAATGACTCTAAATGCACAACCTTGGTAGGAAAGTTCTATTACTTTATCGTTACACCTTCTTTCTCCTTTTCGGAACAAACATCTTGAGCACCTGACATGTAACATACAGCTAAGCTCTGGGGAATGTTGAGATACATAGGACATCAAATCCAAAGTTGGTTCTGTACACTGCTGAAAGAGATAGAATGTAAAAAGACATTTCTACTTCTTTTTTTTTTTGCAGAAATAAGATATGAACATATTTAACATAACATTTAAGATGACATATGATTGAGTACCAAAATAAGCAGTGCATAAAATGAGGAATTTGAAGAATGGGAAGATCCGTGTAGAATAGTTCCCAGTGCCCAAAAGTCAATTCAATAGCGGCGAAGAAAATCAAGGAATAGGAATCTATCATATACCTTTTGTATTGTAGCCCACCATCACTAAGAGGCAACATGGGATGCTGGGGAAAAAATGAAGTTTCTGGTCAACCATTAGCATCTTGGTCCTGCCACTTCGTAGTTGTGTGAACATAGGAGAAATGTCTTAACCTCTCTCATCCTCAGTGTCTTTATTTATAAACTAGAGGTGATGCTGGTGGTGTCATGGGTGAAATAGCGTCTGTAAAATGCCTGTGCACAACTCTCATATTATCCTGGCCTTGTACTTGCTTGGTAAATATTTGGTTCCTTTTTCCTTAAAGAAGAAAAATTACTACTTTTCACTGGTTAGTCCATTCTAATGTCATTAAAGTTAAAACTATGTAACTTAATATCCTTTCTCTAATTTAAATCCATTTCTTTTTATTGATCAGTGAGAACAGCTTGATTGTTGATCACCTGATTCTTGGCAAATTTACCAACAATCCAGTGGATTAATATATGATTAATGGTCAGAGATATTCTGGTGATGACACTAATTGTAAGAATGCCTTCGTTTCCACCATCAATTAGAAGATGAGGTTTGGGGGGGGGGTTTGGTTTTTTTTTTAATAAGTGCAAGCTGGTATATTAAATACACTAAGTATTGATAATCTTTCCTTTTAGAATTTAGTAAGAATGTGAAGAAATTGCAAAGAAACCTGAAAACAACAAGTGATGACATATGAAGAAATAGAGTATGTATCAAAGGTTTAAAACTATTGGATAATATTCTTTTCCCTGACTGGTTTCTTGGATATTAATCATGTTTGGATTATCTTATATTTTAATCTAGACATGCTTATTTTAAGAGTTACCCAGTTAGCGCAGTTTTCTGTAGACACTCCTTTGCTTTCCTGACAGCTTGCTTTAAGAGTCTCCTGGTATTATAGAGGAAAACGATGATGTATTACTAATGGAAAAAATAAATGTACCCCTAAGTACATGTGTCTTAGCTGTCATGTAGTGCAGGGTTGGTTGGCACCAAAATTGGGAGAAATTTCCTCATTTCCCACAAGGGGAAAGATGAATAGTTGTTTCCCAGAAAACCTTCCAGCACTATGAGTCTCTGACTTACAAACTAGAAATCTGTGGATATCAAACCAAGAGTGGTTATCTGCTCCTTTCGTCTCCCCATATTTGGAAACATTTTGGGGGAAAGTGTGGGCCAGGTTTTTTAGTGACAGTACTAACCCTAAAAACATCAGTATTCTTTACTTTTGAACGTTTTTGGAGACCTTCGTAACTAACTTCTGGTGCCCCTCTGTTAAGCCACACACATGGATTTAACTGTATCTTAAAGTAACGGATTACCTTATGCATGCTTCTGTCCCAGCTTTTTTCCAGAATAATATCAAAAGAAACAGTTTTCTGAACTTTTCTGCATTTCCATATAGGTTGGAGTTGGTGGGCATTTGAAATAACTTTAGGGTTAGGATTTGGCTTTGGGTGGGACAAAGAGGAAGTTCTACAAGTAAGAAAAGAATGAGATTGTATGGTACTATATTACAGTTGCCACAAGTATCCTAATCCTGTTGGATCTCAGTATTCTGTATGGTCAGTTCTTAATTTTAGTGGGCATTGGAATCACGTGGAAGGAAGGCTTGTTAAAACCCACATTGCTGGGCCCCACCTCAGAGTTTCTTTAGATCCAGGATGGGCTTGACCATCTGCATGTTTCAAGGTTCCTAGGTAATGCTGATGCTGTTATTCTATATAAAAAAATATCTGAATTATACCTTCTGGTCTTTGTTACTCTAAGACTGAGAATTCCAGTACTTTTAATCTTTTGTTATATACTTGATTTTTTCATTCTCAATAACTTCGCCTTCAGGTTTCTTTTCATGTTCTTCACATTGCAAATTCTAGAAAAAAAGATTATCAATGCTTACATACTTTATTCTCTCTTTGTATTTGAAATATCTTCATAATCAAATTGTTTCACTTGTGGAACACTCCATCCTGATAATTCACAGTACATCATTATTTCACAATATATATGTTTTATCTCTTTATCTGACTGAGATTTTATTGTTTTTGTTCTGTTGGTTTTGACCAATGCTTTACCTTGATCAGTTTAAATAATTATTTCCTCTGCTCATGTGATGTTATTTGTTATATCAAATACATATAAATTAAATTTATTTGAATATTTACTAATGAATTTATGCCATATTATGCTATAGGGACATCATGAATCCTGGCATTAATTCCCTCTGAATATCATTCATTTTCTTCTAAGTTAATGATGTACCATTAATAAGTAGGACCTTTTAGCAGGGTGGACTCCTGCTCTTATATAATTTTCTCCATATTCCTATTTTGTTAATATATATTCCACATTCCATGGAGTCAAAAAATCATTGCTTGTTTTATTTACTTCACAGAATAAAATTATTTGATTGACAGGATTTATTCAGATCCTCTTAAAGCAAAAACCTAAAAAGATACAAGACTGTATAGCAAATTTTCAATTTTAAAATCTATAACTTTATTTCTATCTCTTTATGATTTATGTTGAGTTCATAGTCTACATAATTCAACATGAATTTGTTGAGTGGCTACTAAGTACTCAATTAGAAACAATTTGGGAAGCCTAAAATATAGCTGGGAAAATAAAATAGAAAATTATACAAGTGATGACAATATAATGTTTGATATAAATGTCAGTAATAAGATAGCATATGCTATGAGGATTTAGAAAAGAAATATCATTTAGTTGAGAAAATTAGGAAAGGCTTTGTGAAGGATGGAAGAAATGAGCCTTTGAAATACAGATAGCATTTTCATTGATGGGAAAAGGGATATTATTCATAGAGCCAGAATAATATAATCAGCTCAGGGGGAAATTCATAAAGACATACTGTTTTTGAAGAGATTTCAGGGAGGTAAAATTTCCAGAAACACTGGGCCCAAGTTGCTCGTCAGAGTGTCTGTCTCTGGTTCTGTCTCTGCCTCTCTCACTCTCTCATGTTTTTGTTGTTTTTAAGGGATAAGGTAGGAAAAGGCCATAGCAGGTGTATAGATTACACAAAGAAAAGAAATCTTGGGGAAAATGAAACATTTTTATGAATGAAAATACTGATATAATCATTATTAAACATTTTTAAATAGTATCTTCTAGTAAAGGAGCACTTGTGTTTCACATACACTATGTACTTCATATAACAACCCTTGAAGGTAATTTTTTAATAGGCATTTAAAGTTGAAGGAACTGGCACTCAGAGAAGTTAAAAAAACATTGCCCAACATCAGAATAAAAGCCAAAGTTAGAACCTAATTAGTTCTTCTAGATTGCAAAGCATTTCTATAATTAGGATGTGTAGCAAATTGCTATGTTAAAAATATGAAAGTTGATGTGTATGGGGATAGGTGAGGGTAAAATTTACGGAGGAAAAATAAAGTCTTTTATTTTGGTTTTGTTGTGTTTATATTTTTTAAGTGGACTAATAGAATTTTTAAATAATTAACTTTGCCCCAATTCCCTGTTTCTCTTTTCCTACTGAGGCAATGAAGCTCTGGAGGTAATTTTCTTATCTCTTGTGTTTCTAGAAGGGTCACTTTATCTGGGTTTTTCGTTTTCATTTTTGTTTTCCCAAAGGCCATGCCAATTATAGTTGAACAGCCAGAGGCATTAGGAAAAGTTTTGTCCAAAGATATCAAGAGTGGGAACAAAGTAACTTAATACTGAAATAGTTGGATGACTTTTTAAAATTCCAATTTCAAGAACTACGTTTTGTTTATTTTGTTTTGAAGATAGCCAGCCATATGTCTATACTGCATAATTTGATAAGTATTACTTTCTAACAGTTGTACAAACTGTTTATGTAATTCACTGTCTTTCCTTTTTCAGTGGTTCATTTCCCTAACCTTTATGAAACTTACAATGGGAGAGCCCTCGCCAAAATGGAATTTATTTATAAAAAATTGTATATTTATTCTTATGTGTTTAAACTTCAGTCACCTTCCAAAGTACACTCCATTTGATATATACACCTATCCAGATGATGCCTTCTAAGTGCTTCTGCCATTTTTTGTTTCACCTCTACCAAATCAGCAAAACTCAAAACATTTTCCTTTGAGGACCTTTCTCATCTGGGGAAACAAAAAAAGAGTCCTTGGGGCAAGATCGGGTGAATGGGGAGGGTGGGGCAAGGGGCCATGCCATTTTTTGGTCAAAAACTGCTGAACACTCAACACGGTGTGGGCAGGTGTGTTGGTAGATCACCCATCATGAAATGGGCAAACGTGTCCAGTCTTCCAAAAAAATTCACTGAAGCTGATGCCATCGGGTGCACTGATACAGATGGGTTTCTCGAACACTCACCTAGTGGAGGAAGCTTGTACTACAAGGCCCACCCTCCAGAAAATAATTCCAGTTATTTTGGGGTTCTTCCTCACCTATGTCTGGTAGACTTTTAAATAGAATAATCTTAAAATTGACTTATGTGTTTGGATTTTGAAAACTTGAACAGCTAATGAAATAATTTTTGAGATCTGATTAGAACAAGTTGTGAAACATCTTCAAGTGTTTTGAAAGAATTGCAGAATTGTAGGTTCTACTTTGAAAATGATCTGTTACCAAATACAGTTTTTAAAACTGTTGAATAGTTATTTGAAAATAATTAAATAGTTACTGTAACTTTAATTTATTCTAATACACATGGGCTTTTGATTAATTTTATAAAATGAGAGATGCAGTGGCTTCATTTTGAAAGGGAGTCATTGTCTGAAGCAGCAGCCTTCATTTTTCAGTAGAAACCTTTACTATGCAATAGCAAGTTAAAGTTCTACTCATAATTTCTTTTTGTGTAGAAAAGTTTACTTCTAGCATTGCACTTAATAACAGATCTGTTACTTTATAGTTGGCCTTGGCAGAATTGTGTGAAGATGAAGTGAAATGCAAATCTTCCAAATCTGATAGACCTAAAGCTTCAATCTTTAGAAGCCCACGAACACCACCTCAAAGGTAAGTTTTTTCTGGATCAAACAAAAACGAAAAAGGACTCATGGGCATGGACAACAGTGTGGCGATTGCAGGGATGTGCGGGTGTATAAGGGGGTTAAATAGTAATGGAAAAAATACAATTAAAAAATTCTTAAAAAGAAAATGATTGTACCCCTTTTTAGTTTACTAATCCCAAATTATTTTAAATGGCCTTGGACTTTTTTTTAATCTATAATTTTTAAAAATGTTATTTAGGTACTCTTTCTAAAACTTTAATATTCAGAAAGTTGGAAGAAACTTAAGGAAACATAATCTTAAATGCCTAATATTTTGATATGCAACATAGAATTACTGTGGTTCTTTGTTGAGTCGCTGGACTCACTGAGGATCTGATGAAGCTACAGCTCCTCCCTTCTCAAAACATTTATGCACAATTCTGTCAATTGTTTTTAAGAGTTTCTGTGATCCTTAAAGCCCATCAAGCCCTGGCTGGGTAGCTAAGTTGGTTAGAGCGTCGTCCCAGTATACCATTGCAGGTGCAGTCCCCAATCGGGGCACATACAAGAATCAACCAAGGAATGCATAAATAAGTAAAACAACAAATCGATGTTTCTTTCTTTCTTTCTAGCTCTCCCCCCTTTTCTCTCCCTAAAATCAGTAAATAAAAAAAGTTTTTAAAAGGCCATCCACTGAGTACCCTATGTGTCTATTGTCCTCCATTTAAGAATCTATAACTTTAGGAATCTGTCTTTGTTCCCTTGGATGAATATCCATCTAATAAGAGATCATCTGGATAGTATTTGCTATTGTTAAAATCCACGAACTATAAAAACAGCCAACTGTGAAGGTTTAAGAGATGAGAGTCAGGAATATTTTATTGCCACAAGTTTTCTTGTTTCTAGGAATCTTTATTAACATATTTTTAGTACTGCAAATATCATTACTAGGAAGAAACTTGAATTTGCCCATTATATCTCAGTCTCAGAACGCCTTTTATTTTACCAAAAGCTAAAAAATTCACTGAAAATTATTTTATCTTTTCCTGTTGTTGTTGTTGTTGCTGCTGCTGCTGCTGCTGCTACTCTACATCATTTCTGTCTGTGGGGGAGCTAAAAATGACTAATCTTTCTGGACCCGAATGAGAAGAAAGAATAATATTTAATATTTTCCCCCAACTTTTTATTATACAAATTTTCAAACCCATAGATAATCAAAACATTGTACCATGAATATATGCTATATATGCTTCATTGATTGCTAACAAGTTGCACCATTACATTCATGCAAACTCTCTCTTACAACTATTTGAAAGTAAATTGCAGCCATCATTACACTTTTCCCCTGCAGACCTCAGCGTGCATCCCCTTATAAGAAGCACACACCCATTTATAACCTCGATCACATATCGCATCTTAGAAAATGAACAGTAATTTCATTAAATCACTTAATAGCCCATAGTAAGTTATCTCTTAGAGCCAAGGGCCATGTATTCCATTTGATTATGCCTGTTTTGAATCTGAATCCAGAGCATCCTCCCCACCTTTTTGATGTTTGCTTTTAGCTCATCTGTATAATTTAAAATTTATGGGATTGGTCAAAAAGTTTGTTTAGTTTTTTCTGTATGATGGCTGTAGTAGCAGTTAGTTGTCTTTAACTTCATTCAAAACAATTTTGTAAGAGTCTATTGTGACAGCTGTCATATCAGCATGCATTTTTTAAGAAAAAAACAATAAATTGGAGAGTTTTTGTGCAGCCATTTTAATACTGAAGATGGAAGAAAATATGCAACATTTTTGGAATATTATGTTTTATCGGTTCAAGAAAAGTTAAAATGCACCTGAAATGCAAAAAAAGATTTGTGCAGTATATGGAGTCGGTGCTGTGGCTGATCAAATGCGTCAAAAGTTGTTTACAAAGTTTCTTGGTACTATTGACATTTTGGCCAAATAATTCTTTGCCGTGGGCCTGTCTTACACATTGGAAGATGTTTAGGAGCACCTCTGGCCTCTACCGACTAGAAGCCAATAGCGAGGCATAGATGACATACTCAGAATATTCAAATCAATAAAATTCTTGGTGAAAATGAGAACTGTGTCTTTTATTTTACAGAAAAAACTAAATGGACCTTTTGGCCAACCCAATACATTAACTTTTTTGAGGAGTCTAGGCCACATGTATTATACCGTGTCCCACATTCAAAGTTATTGTTTCCTCGTGATTAGATTCTTATTAAACATGTTCGTCCAGAATACCAGTAAGTCATGTTGTCTGGTATTTATTATATCACATTAGGGAGCCATAGAATTTCAGGTTTTCCCACTGCTGGTGATTTGTTCACTTGGTTAAGGCACTGGCCACCACATCACCCCACTGTAAGGTACAGCTTTTCCTTTGTAATGTGTAGGTTGATGTCTTAACACTATTTGAATATCCTACCTTTCATTTAATTCTTATTTCGATGTGTATGTGTCTATATACATATATACATATATGTATAATATTGATATTATATATTTTAACTGCTTCCTTAGTTTATACATTCTCCAAAGTTTTAAAAATACTTTAAATGTTTATGTACAAAAGTTTTTAACTATTTTCCCATTGTTTCCCCAATCTGAGTATATTTTTGAATGACTTAATTTATTCATTATATAAGAAATCAAAATATTTGACTGCTTATAAGATTAGTATATTACTATTTTCTTTGCTATTCATATATAATCATTAAGATATTTTAATGAACTTTTTTGTGTGCTACATATATTTAGATATGCTATCTGAAACAAGTCATTAGTAGTTGTAATTTGATAGTGCAGTTTTTAAGGACAGTATGCCTCAGGTTTGATCTCTAGAATTATTTATATATCCAAAAGGAGGAGTTGCCTTAAATGATATTGGTTGAGGCTTAAGCTATGTTTAATTTGCTTAAAATACAATATTGAAACACATCATTAGTGATCTTTTCTTTTTTGCTAAGTATGAAATTTTTTAATACTAAGCATACAGTTCTTTTGAGTTCTTTTTCAGTATTGACATTTACTCAGTTTCATTACATGTCTGCTGCTTTGTTTGGTACAGAAAATAGTGCTTATTTCCATATTCTACATTTTTAGAGAGTATTAGATATCAAAACATGTATTTGCTCATTGTCATTTAAGCTAATATATTTTTAAGCTCATTTTCATTTAAGCTAATATATATATTAAGCTAATATATCTGAAACTCTAGACATAATGTGGTCTATGTTTATATTTACAAGAGGAAGAACAGAATCTACAGAAAAACTTTCAGAATATATCCTGGCACCTGTTGCAACACATTTATCCACAAAAGGTTATATATCACGAGAAGCACTTTAAAAATCATTTGAGTATCCTTCTTCAAAAATCTGAGAACTTAAAAAAAAAAGTCCTCTTCAAGTAATTAGATAGTAATATTGGTTTGAGAATTAATTGAGACAAAGTATATAAGGTGTTTAGCACAATGTTGGTACTTAGTTGGGTCTTAAAAAATTGTTAGCATGTAGATAAGCACAGAAGACAAGAGACAAAATTCCAGCAACAATAGGCACAAAGGATAAAATAATAAGAATGACAGGAGAGGCCTTGAAAAGGAACCTGCAGGACTTAAATAGTCCAGTGGCAAATAAGGTTGGACAGGTGGAGTGTTTCCAGGACATGCTTCATGGACATGTGATGTGTGAGCCACACAGCTCATGCTGAGAAGGGACTCATGCTTGGGTCAGTGCTTTGCCGCTGCTCTCACGTACAATTTTTTTCTGTGTTTTGCCAATGAAAAAGGGTTTTAAATTACATAAACTTTAGTTTTCTTATTTGTAAAATGAGGATAATACCATTACTGGGGAGTAAAAGAGCACAAGTTACCTTGAGAAATGTTAGCTCATTATTATATACTTTTAGGGAAATATAGTATAAAATTAATAGTAATAGGTGAACAGGATAAGGAGACAAATCAGGAAGAAAACAATTGCGGTAATGTAAGGAATATAAAATTTTGCATTTGCGTAGAGTCAATAGAATGGAGGAGAAAGGATGAAATTGATGTAGGATACCTTCAAAAAAATTATTATTGAAACTGGATGACATGGGATATAGGGAATAAGTGAATGGTAAAGATAGAAGTCTTGAAAGGTTCTTATTCTGAGATACAGGAAAAATGTTATAATGGGAAGATTTAGGTGAGGAACATAAGTTTTGTTTTGGAGAAATGAACTTGATTCAAGTAGGGGCTTTTACCTTCATCACTGGACCATAAGTAAGAGGGTGCTGAAAACATTTGAGAGTCATCTTTATTGAGGATGTTGTTATTAATGGAAGTGGACAAATATTTTGATTATCAGTTGAGTTTCAACAGAGAACAAGAGTCAAGGATATAGTCATACTTAATTTCTAAAGAGGATAGATGGATAGATTGTGGATCTAAATATAAAAGGAAAACAAAACTTCTAGAGGAAAACAGTATCTTCATGACTTCGATGTAGGCAAACATGTCTTTAACAGGTAATATAAAGCATTAACCATAAAGGCGCTAGTAAGTCCTTTCCAACTTCTGATTCTCCAGTAGGGTCTTTCTCACCAAGACCGTGATAAAAAGGAACAATATACAGTACTTGTATTTTCCCAGATAAGAGGTATGGAATAGGGAACGAAGGACCTGCAACAGGAGATAGCTGCATCTGGAAGCCTTGCTTTTCTTCTCTTTTCTTTCATCTTCTCTTTCTTTTCTCTCCTTCCTCTCTCTTTTTATCATTTTCTTTCCTTTCGTCTTCCTTTCTCACAGCTACCTAAAATCATCTGCTGTCCAGCTCCTAATACTAACACTTGTCTTAAGAGCTAGCTATGTATGGTGCCAGGTGGGTAATTGAAATATTGAGAGAACACTTTACAGGGTATGTGGACTGTCTAACCACTGTCCTGTATACCTGAAACTAATACAAAATAATACTGAATATAAACTGTAATTGAAAAAAAATTGAGAAGAGAAAAAAGAGCCAGCTATGGCAACATATGGACTCTCTGAATATAAGCTTGGCAGGAAGGCTTCCATTGGCTCTGGGTAACTTGGTACCCCGGTGCATTCTGCTGAGCTGTAGCAGGACAAATTCAACCCTACCTCCACTTCCAGCCCTGCCCTCAGCAGTTCTGAGCCTGCCTTGTTAGCAGATTCTGCTTGCTGGTGTCCACTTGTTCTCCAGGTGGGTTTTTTCTAATTTACAGTGAATCAAGCGCTGGTTTGCCCTTCCCTCTTTCTGTTCCGCTTTGCACATACTAATTTTGGAGAAAGTATTGAAGGTGACCTCTATTCTTAGTCTCCAGTGCTGATTTAACTTGCCCCCTTCCTTTCATTTTGTGAGTCAGTTCAGTGCAAATTTGAAACTGGTTTGGAGGGAATGGGTAGTTAAAAACATGAGCTCTGATTGTCGTCTTACACTAGAAGTCTCCATGTTAATATTTCATTGGTTGTATTTTCTATTCTCGATTTTAAAAAAGTCTTAAAATACAGGTCACTAACATAAAGGAAATTTTTATGTTTGGAAGTTGGATTGGGAGTAAAAATCAGTTTCAACGTATTAGTTAATACACTGAAAAAAACTTGTTTGTGGTCTAAATTATTTACAACACAGGGGGTTACATATTTTCAATACAAAAAACAGGAGTGAACGCGCTATGAGTGGCCCTGTAGTCTAGATGTAAGTGTTCACACTACCTGAATCTAGCAGTCTGTTCACTAACCAGGTCCACACTGAGTGTGGATTCCTCAGGGAAGAGACTTAGCTTCTGACTGTCAGCACTTCTTCCCCCATAAACCAGAAATGCATTTGATAAGCCACTGCAGAGGGCGAGGGAAGAAGAGCAAGCCAGTTCTCGCACCACATGCTGAGCTTGCTGCAAGAATGTCCACAACCTCCATGAGAAATTATATGAACTGTTCACTATTTAATTCTTTAATCCTACATTTAAAATTAAATATTTCCTCAGAAGACATAAATTATTCTTTTTAAATAAAAGTTATGTTCTAAGACTGTAGCTTTTTACTTTAAAGTAGTTTATATCTGTATTCTAAGTTGTTATTCATGAACTGTGATGTTTAAAGGTTCTATTCAAGTGAGCATGAATACAGTGGGTTACATATAATTCGACCTTCAACTGGGAAAATTGTGAATGAACTTTTCAAAGAGGCAAGGGAACATGGGGCTGTCCCTCTGAATGAAGCCACAAGAGCTTCAGATGATGACAAATCTAAGGTAATACTTAATTTTAAAACTAAGTATGCTATTTATATTTTTGATTTGCTCTGTAGTTTTTTTTTTATATTATGTAACATTGTTTTTCTAACTATTTCTCTTTTAAATATTTGATTCATCTTTATAAGATTATAATCTTTCTGTTAATGATTGAAAGTTGAAGCAGTTTCTTACATTTTTATGTAAATCCTCTACTTAGGTTTTTATTTGAAATAATTATAGACTCATGGGAATTTACAAACTGTATATAGAGAGGTTCTGTGTACCTTTTACCCATTTCCCACTTTACCATAATGGCTAATGATGTTATTTGCATTTTCCTAACAGCCTGTATGTTGAATATCTCTTCATGTGCTTATTTGCCACTATCTTTATTATCCTCGTTAGGAAAATGTCTCTTCATGACTTCAGCCCATTTTCAAACTGGATTGTTTTGTTACAAACAAAACTGAGAGTTATTTATTTTAATAGATATGGGTTCTTTGTAAGATATGTTTTTTTCATATATTACCTCCTAGACTGTAGCTTATCTTTTCCTTCTCTTACCAGGATTTTTAATAGAGCAAAAGTTTTGGTAAAGTCCAATTTATCTTTTTTTTTAATGGATTATGCTTTTAATGTCTTAAGATAATGTCTTAATATCTAAGAGCTCCTCACCTAACCTTAGGTCCCAAAATTTTCTCTGTGTTACCTAGAATGGTTTCATATTTTCCATTTAAACCTGTGACCCATTTTGAGTTAATTTTACATAAAGTTTAAGTTGAGATTCATATTTTGACTTAATGAAAGACCAGTTGCTCCACCATTATTGAAAAGACTCTCTTTCTTTCATTGGATTATTCTTATACCTTCTTCAATTGCTGCAAAACTATCGACGCAGTACTGGTATATTAAAGAAAACTAGTGCATTTTTCTGTGTAATTGTCATATGTCTGGTAATTAACATTTCTCCACCTGACTTTCCCTGTCACATCGTTTGGGGAGGTTTTCTAAACTACCACGTGGTCTCCGACGTCACAGATCAGTGGCTTTCCCAGGTGCTTGGTCATGTGTCATCGTGACAGACATTACTGTTGAGAAACACTGCTTTAAATGAAAAATAAATTTTAGTTTTTGCTATTTACCAATAGCTTGAAATTCTTTTTTAGTGAAATCTAAGGTAATTAGGGTTCTTGAAAGTTCTCTAATTCTGTAAGAAAAATGTGGAATTCATATAATTTAGTCTGTAGAAAAGAAAGCAATGTGACCATTAAAATCTTATTTATGAGATCTAAACGGTGGTTAAAAGGAGTATAATGTTTAGCCTCATATGCTCTCCGGCCTGAGAAACGGAAGAGCTTGTGGTCAGTGTAGCAAAATAAAAAGCAGTCATAGTTGACTTGTTAAAGTTGAATAAAAAGCAACTTATAAAATAAGTATAGAACTTATAAAATAAGTATAGAGTATAGGGTAATTTATAACCCCTTATAAAATTTTTTCTTTATAACTCTTATTTACTTTGTGAAATATGATTTAAACATAGTTTTTATTATAAAGCTTGTCATAAAATATTAGTGATGGCTTTTTAAAATCTGTTTATACTTGAAAATTTGTATTTCAAGGTATAAATGCATTTCTTTAGTTTAAGATTGGCTTAAGTTATTTCTGCTCCTGAATAACTAATGTTTTTATGGAAAGAAATATAATTTCTTACTTGAATACACTTCTCTGTAGCCTAAGACTTTAATTTTATTATGATATTTTCCTGGAAAATACAAACCAGTTTGACTAATTATAGTTTTATCTAGCTGTAAAATATGTACCACACATTAATGGAAGATTTTGCTTAATAAGCCTTAGTGAATTTTTAGCTCACTTGCTGTGTATTTTAGTCATTTACAGGTGGAGGATACAGGCTGGGTAATTCCTTTTGTAAGCAATCTGAATACATCTATGGAGAAAATCAGCTGCAAGATGTAGGTATAGTAATCAAAATGAAAAATTATAGATGTTGGCCTCTAGTTACTATTGTTTGTTTTAAAATTAAAAATTGGTTATATAAATATAATCTTTTTGTTTTCTTAATTTGTGAAATATCTATTAAAAGGTTAATGTGTATGTTTTCAGTCTCAAATTTTATATTTCATATCCCAAATGTGCCTTACAAAAGTAGAGATGTAATAACTATTTGTTGAAAGAATATATGATTCACTGTAAAATGAGCTTACGTATATATGATAATGATTACTATAAATGTTGTACTGCCATAATATAGAATGAGCTCAGTTGTAAACATAACAACACCTTAAGTCATTATTTCTATTAACATTTTGAAATTTTGCAGTTAAAACTTCATTTTAAACATACAGGTTAGCCTTGGAGAGTCACTAGAAATTCTCCGTTGACTCTTCGAATGAATATGTAAGCTCTGTAGCAGAAAATATGGTCACAGAAAAAGAAGGGTGGGTGTCGAGTGGCAACTTGATGCTCTTATTGCTTTAATTTTCTCAGTGAACTAGAAATAATTTTACTTTGAGGCCAGGGTCCAGGTGTGGAAACTGGGATCTTTGGTATTTCAGCCATTATCCATTCGTTAAGCTAAGTACAGATCTGCTTAGCAAACACACATCGTTTCATTTACCTCTGAATAAAGAATAGTACAAATAACTCCACATTTTCAATTAAGTAAATGGTTTAATATGTTGAGAAATACCACATTTGAAACTTAAAATTGTTTGATGCAGATGGATTTTTTTTTATTTTTATCTTTTTTTTTCTATGCTCAAAAGGTTCAGATTTTGCTTAAATTGTGGAGCAATGGGTTCAGTTTAGATGATGGAGAATTGAGACCTTACAATGACCCAGCAAATGCTCAATTTCTGGAGTCTGTTAAACGAGGGTAAGCTGTATTGTGTGTGTTCTATTTGTTACTTAGGGTGGAATTTTTTTCCCCCAGAATGCTGTTCAGTAGGGCACTACTGGTTAAGAGTTATATTATGTGAGTGGTTCTTGGGAGAAGGGTCTTTTTAAGTATATAAAGGACATATTGCTGGTTCTCAGCTCTGGGGGGTGGGGAGGCAGTAAGACTTTGGTCCCTTTAAAAATCTGATGAAGCTATGGTCCCAACTCTAAGAAGAAATATCTCAGTGTACTAAATCAATGAATTGATTAGCATGTAGCTACCCATCCACTAAGCCACTGTCCTGCTTACTGTTGACAGGGTGACTCATTGCATGTATGCCTGAAATTCAGCAACTTATATTAGAAATCTTTTAAAGTGGCATTACTGCTGGCAGAAGATTTCAAAAGGTTAGTTTGAAGTTATAATTTATGAAAGCTGGATATACAGTACTCTGACCCATCTGAAGAACATCGTAACTCACTAGCTCTTCTTGCTGAAGGATAAGATATTTCGCTGAGATATTGGTGATGAACTGGGAGATTTAAGTTGCAGTGAAGGGACTGGAGTAGGAGGTTATCTGCCACCCAGGAATTGACGGTGGGGCTTGTCCATCCTTCCAAGTGATGAAATGTGTCCAAGGAGAGAGGCCGCAGTGGAGTGAAGATGAAATTCATTGAAGTTGAGATAGTGAAGGAGCTTTTAAGGAAATGTATTTTAGAACACTAATTAGCATGAATTTTCCACTTGAATTCTACAAAGATCATGTCAGGATACCAAAAAGAAAACAGAAAAAAAGGCACGGGAGATGCTATAAGCATTATGCTGAAGTCATTGAGAAAGGTGGGAAGCTGTCCTAGGAGGCAGTAGTGTATGGCGTGTGGTAAATATAAGAATATCGTAAGTTAGGTCAATGCTATGGACTCGGAACCCTGCAGAACCACTGGAAAGAGCTGGGAGTAGGCAAAGTGTTCATCTGCCAGGTGAACATCCAACAATACTATTGAAATTGATGCTTAATTCAAGACAGTGGAAGAAATCATATTAATGATGAATGTACTATACTGTAGATCAAAACTAATTTATTAAATGAAAATAATCTCTAACCTTTCTAGGCTACTGTTCACACAATCATGGTATACTAATTTTTTAAAAATTTGAACCACATCATATCCTCAAGTACAAATTATGGTCAAGAACAGTTTTAGAAAAGACTCCTTGAAAACAGTGAATGATGTCAGATAGTGATTATCAACTGTATAATCAATGTCCCCTTTTTACAACAAACATTTTGTAACACCATCTTTACCATCATCAAGGGAGAACTGAAAAATAATACCTATCTATATATATCATTTCCAAAATATAATGTCAATTATATATTTAAAATATTCAGGGAATAAAAGAAAATAAGTTACCATAAAATTATACATATTTCCATTTCTAAATGCCCAGGGATGACCGCACCGAAGATATAGCAAAGCAATCGGGTGGTTTGCACCAATGTGCAGTCTAGCACTTCTCATATAGGTGTGACAGACATAAAAACAGAATAATAAGGTATGTGAAATTGGCAACTTCATTACTATAAGCAGCATTGCAGTCCTGGACTTGGTAAAGTTCTAATTAAAATAAGTTGTAATCTTCCCTGTCTGTATGGAAGACGGAAATTTCAAAGCATATTAATACAGCACCAAAAAAAGAGTTTTTGAGTTTTTGCTTATATGTAATACGGAGCCTAAGCCTTAGGTTTTAGGCTTATATATATAACAGTGTTGTTGTCATATGACTTTCTGGCAGGGCATTCAGTGGTTCAGTGGAACTGGAGACAAGTCTTCATTGTGCAGGAAGACTCCCCTGTGCCAGAGCATCTTTCATCCCCGCCCGGACTGAGCAGCAGCTCTCAGGAGTCATACAATAATTAAAAACACCCCTATCATTTTGAAAACTTCCTTTAGGGAGTTTAGAAAGAAATACCTGCATTGACTATATGTCCTCACAGGAATTTTCTAGTGTTAATATAGGTAAGAACTGCTGTCATACGGTTTGTCAGAACCACTCCAAGATGACTGTGATAACAAAAAAAAATCCTCTTGTTGAGAATCCCTAAGGAATAATGTGGTGGAGCTTTAAGAAGGAAATACCTACAGAAATATCTGCAGATAAAGAAATATGTAATCAGTCATCACAGAAATTTTTATATTACAATTTACACAAAAAGCGTGGTTTTCCAGGGTAGCTCACAACTTGGTTCATTTTTTCAAAAGTTAACTAAAACCTTTCCCCCCCTTTTTTTAAAGAGAAATTCCCCTGGAGCTTCAGCGACTGGTTCATGGTGGGCAAGTGAACTTGGATATGGAGGACCATCAGGATCAAGAGTACATAAAACCCCGATGGAGGTTCAAGGCTTTTAGTGGAGAAGGACAAAAGCTTGGAAGGTAGAATTCTAAAATGAGAAAAACACTTGTCTTTGTTCAACATGAATTTCTTTTAGGAATTAAAAAAAAATCGAAACAACCTGGAAAGTAAAAACTAACACTTTGTTGATGGAATTAGATATGCATATCTGGTGATAATATTAGTTGCGGACACTTAAGATAGCAGTTATCATATTCCTAGCCCTCTAAGCACTTTGCATACAGTAACTCACTTAATCTTTACAGCACCTCTTCCATGTTGATCCTGTTGCTCCATTTGCAGATGCCATATTTTGCCCACATTGATTGAGCTGTGAAGTGATTAGCATGTGGCATTCAAACCAGGCACTCTGGCTCCAGAGTCTGCTTTTACAATGATGCCATCCTGCCTCTTTCTGATTACATGGGTTCAAAGAGGGACATTGTAAAGGGTTGCTGATTAGATAAAAAACAATAGATAGATCATAGCTTTAAGCACATCTGTCTGCCTTTGAGCTCTTGCAGCAAGAGCGGTGTTTTTAAATTGGCTGTTTTCAATATTTTTTAAGTAGCCAAACTCTTATTCACGTTACGGAAGCCCAATATATAAAACTCATATAAAACCTGAGCACCTCTGGTTGCAGGAGAGAAAGGAATTATCTCTTGAGACATTTCCAAAGAACCCCTAGGACTTTGCCGAGCACAATTTAGAAACCAGTGTGCATGATATGATGTATGAGTGGACTCCTTTATAACAGCCTGGCTTAAAAGATACTTCATAAACCTTGTAAAATAAGTTGGTAAAAGTTACCTTCTATTTGTCCACATATCACTACAGGTGACCATGGAATTGTGTCATTGACCATGTGTCCAGTGTACCCTTTTGTACTTGTTTTTTTTTTTCATGTGATTCCTTCCCTTCCAAGTTCTTTTCAGTGGCTTCGTGCATACTGGTTCTCTATTCTCCACTCAATATTGGTTCTTTTTCCCTGTCTTTCGTATCTCAGGTCTCTATTTCTATATCCTTTTCTGCTTTTAGAGACTGATTTCTGAGACATGTAGGAAATACAGGAACATGTGTTGACCTGGCTTTTTTTAACACCCAAATCCTTCAGTGCCTGGTCACAGGCCTACTTGCAAAAGTTTTTCTCATCTCTCTTTACTACACAGCACAGGTCAGACTTCTCCTGAATTGTTCTCTCTTTTCCCTCCTTCTGTTTTAATAACTGTAAACCACAGATACATTTTTTTAAAGTATTTGCTAGCACTTCGCATTTTTACTTAATATTTTTTGAGATCATTATTTTAATTAGAATATATATAAAATTCCCAATCATCTCTTTGCTTTGTACATGTTCTTTTTCTATTAGATAAATATATGACCAAGAATTAATGTTAGATTGCATGTCTTTGTTAATAGAAGTACAATAAATCTAGAATTGAAGTTAGCATAAAGGAAAGGTAGCTGATTAAAATCAGTAATTTTCACTAATGAATATTACAATATTATCTGGTTATAATATCTTACAAAGGCCAGCCTTTTTCTTATTAAGCAGACAGCTAGAGAAATGACCAAAAAAGGAGAAAATGATGGAAGAGAATGACGAAGATTAGAGATGGTAATGCTGCATTAACCGTTAGCCATACTGGTCAGAGTTTTTGATTGCAGAAAACAAAATCTAGTTGTATTTTAATTGGTAAAGGGTTTCCTATAAAACCTTGGATAGTTTATAAAATTTCTGCAATAGAAAGCAAACCAAGCATTCCTTAGTCAGAAATAAGCCAACAGAGAACTTTGTAGAGAAAACACCCCCTGTGTCCCAATCAGTTAGCTCAGTGCTCGTGAATCTAGGCACCAGACACTAGAACACTCCATCATGACTGCTCCAGAAGAATGAAATGCCTCCAGCACCTTGGTAACAAGAAGCACTGCATAGCTTCGACTTCCAGTGCTTGCTTTCACCATTGGTTTGCTCAGCATAAGTGGCATTGTATTAAATCCTAGCTGCAGAGGAGTCTGAGAAGTGGAGACTTTAGAATTTTCAGCTTCTCCTGTGTAGGAAATTCAGCATGGTATTGTGAGCCTGTGTGATGGACATGAATCCAAATATTGACTAACCGAATATATATATTCTAAGAAAGTGAAGAATTGCATAGAAAATTTTGAAGACTTTGCATTAAGAAATTCAGTGGTACTTCAATATTTGTCATTAATTCATTCTGGAATTTGTAACAAGTGCCAAAACTGACGAGTACCAAACAAGTGACAAGTGATGAAACATTTTCCCTTTTGGGGCAGCGTCGTGACTCATACAAGTTCTAGCAAGTGCAGTGAGTCCCAAGCAAGCACCAAGTGCCAAAATATTTTTTTTTCCTCATCAAAATGTGACAGATACAGGGTTTGATGAGTGAATACCAAGGTATTGCTGTATATTGAAATTTAAAATTCTGACAGTTACGATAGCAATTTTTTAAAGTAGTTCATTTCCCCGTAGATCCAGACAGCTATTTATTGAACAGAGAAATAATTAAAAAGAAGCAAAAAATAATAATAAAACCCAGAAATGGAAATAATTCCATTGTCCTCCATAGTTGGCTGTCTAATTGCAAATAGAAGATTACATAGATAGAAACTAAGCTAATTTTTTATTGTAACATACAGATAATTATGGGGTTTTTATTGTAACATACAGATAATTATGTTCTAAACATAATGAAGAACATTAACTAGTACCTTCAGTTAATATAATAGGAGCATAAATCATAGGTCTAAAACTGCACAATTACAATGGTAGAACAGATGATATTATTTAATGAAAATAAGCTTAGTGAGGTAGAGCAGGACAGGCAGAAGACTGTGATGTGAAGCAAATCTCTCTTTCTACTTAAGAACAGTCACTGCCTGTTTGTCATATTGTTTAAGCCAAAAGATTCTCTTTGCTCCTTTCACTCATTCTAGCCACGAACTGAGGTTTGACTTTGTCTTGGTCCCTGGATCTCAAGGGCTGTTTTCTCTAACTTCTGACAGCCAGCCCCTTTTTTCCTCCCTTTTCTGCACTTTCTTATGCCTGCAGTTCTCCAGCCCCCTTGCCTTACTGTACAGCCGTGGGATTTGTGTGCCCCCGTGCTGTTCGTGCTGCTGGGGACGACGGCACACCCGTGCTGGGCGGGCAGGCCGCTCCTCTCCCTCGGCCAAAGAACATGCCCGCATAGTCCCTGCTTTCCCTAAGCCTCCTGTTCTCCCCCTTCCACCTCAGCACATGTCTTTGCTTCCAGCTTTACTGAGAAAATAGAGCCTGAGAAGAATAAACTTTCCTCACATATTCCCCTTAACCTCTAAGTGTATTAAATTTATCCTCTTTTCAGCCTGAAGATGATATTCCTCCTTCTGTCCAAGGGAATTGCTATGCTTACAACCTAATTCTTTCCTCCAGTTTGCCTAAAAACCTTGTTTTATCAGTTAACTTCCCTACTTCCCTTTTGTAAAATTTTCTTTTTAATGGAATACTTGAAACATACAAACAGCACATTAATGATGTCATTATCATTTGATTGATTGGATGATAAGAAGAAAGTTTTTTTTAAATATACTTTATTAATTATGCTATTACATTTGTCCCATTTTTTTCCTCCCCTCTAGCCCACTCCGCCCTGCCCCTTCCCTCCCTCCAACATCCCCCACTCCTGCCTTAGTTCATGTGCATGGGTCATACGTGTAAGTGCTTTGGCTTCTCCATTTCATATACTCTTTGATAAGGAGAGAGTTTTAAGTGGCAAATAGATGAGACTTCGAAGGCTAAACATGAGCTAACATAACTTTTTAAAATATTTTATTTCATATTAATTTATGATATGTGCAAAAGTAGTTGGCACCTGTTGATACACTGTTTTAGGATTACTGGTATAGGCCTCACTTGTTTTGTTGCACTTCATTTTATTGTGCTTCATAATGTTGCATTTTCTACAAATTGAAGATGAGACCCTTTACCAGCAAAAAGACTATCACTTGCTTTATTGTGATACTCACTTCATTGTGGTGGTCTGGAACCAAACCTGAATATTTTTGAGGTATGCCTGTATAACATACCTTCATAACATAATATGCCCCTATTTTATAAATGATAGAACTGTGATTCAAAGAGATTAAGTTTACTCAATGAGCATAGCTGAGATTTGAAACCAAGGTTGTGCTCTTAATCATTCTTTCATGTTAACTCAAAGTTGTTCAGATTTCTGACTAAAGGATGGTGCGTGCTAAACAGTTTCATGAAATTTCAAAGGGATAAAAGAAGAAAGAATACACAGACAGGCTTTTGAAAAATATTGGAAAAATTAAATCAAAATCATAGGATCCAAAATAAATGTAATATAATAAAAGAGATTGGAAGGAGTATAGGAGACCCAAAGGAAGCCATGTCTTGCTAATCCAGAAGCCATGGGGGAGGGGAGATAGCTTGAGAGTCAGGTATAAGACTAAGTGGTTATTCCAGTTCTTCAGTTTATCATATGCCTTATGTGTTTGAATTTGTGTTCTAGTTCTTTCATTCTTCTTTCATAGTCTTACACCTGAAATTGTCAGTACACCTTCCTCGCCAGAAGAGGAGGATAAGTCAATACTTAATGCAGTTGTTCTTATTGATGATTCAGTGCCAACAACAAAAATTCAAATCAGGCTGGCAGATGGGAGTCGTTTGATACAAAGATTCAATAGCACACACAGGTAAGCTTCTAATTTGCTGTCACACAGATGGTTATTTATATTTGTAAAATTGTATGTGACGAGTAATGCAGAATATTAAATTCTTTAGATTTGCAGTAAGTTTTTAACAAAAGAAAAACTGGAAAAGGGTAATAGTTATGTGTAAGAAGTGAAACATTTAGTAATTAAACATCTTTTGTAAACTGTCTAAATATTAATGCAAATCCAGATATCACTCAAAAAAAAATAAAGAAAAAAGTTAAAAGCTACAGTTTTGCACTGTTGCCAAAACAACATGAAGTGGAATCAGATTTAATTTAATGTAGTGAAAGCTTATTTGGACTTTACTCATAAAAATTTATGGTAATTCTGATCAGGATTAACTTTTACATAGAAAATTCTTCATAATGTAAATGTGTAGTGTAAAGTTTAATTGTGCTATTGTCAAGTACTTCATATAAACCGTTATAAATACCATTTTAACATTCATTTGTACATCAGTATTTGTGCTATTTATTGTATCCCTCTGAGGGATATATTTATGATCTTAGTTGAGATATTATGTATATGTGAAAGTAATTTTTTTAAATCATTTTTTAATTTTTCAATTGCAATTGACATACAATATTATATTAGCTTCAGGCATATAACCCAGTGATAAGACATTATATAACTGAATAAGTGATCATCTTAATAAATCTCATACCCAGCTGACACCATGCATAGTTATTAAAATATTATTGACTATATTCCCTATGCTGTAGTTTACATCCCCATGACTCTTCTATAACTATCAATTTGTACTTCTTAATTCCTCTACCTTTTTCTCTCCCTCCCCCCCGCCATATGGCAACTGTCAAAATGTTCTCTGTATGTATGAGTTTGTTTCTGTTCTGTTTGTTTGTTTTTAGATTCAATTGTTGATAGATATGTATTTATTGCCATTTTATTGTTCATATTTTATCTTTTTTTCTTCTTCTTAAAGTAGAGCCTTTAGCATTTCAGGTAATACTGGTTTGGTGGTGATGAACTCCTGTAGCTTTTTCTTGTCTGGGAAGCTTTTTATATGTCCTTCATTCCTAAATATACCTTTGCTGGGTAATCTTTGTTGTAGTCCTTGCTTTCATCACTTTGAATATTTCTTGCCAATCCCTTCAGAACTGCAAAGTTCCTGTTGAGAAGCTTATGGGAGCTCCCCTGTAGCTTACTGGCTTCTTTTCTCTTGCTGCTTTTAAGAGTCTGTCTTTGGCATTTTAAATTATGATGTGTTTTGTGTTGTGCCTCTTTGAGTTCATCTTGTCTGGGACTGTCTGTATTTCCTGGACTTCTATTATTTCCTTCACCAGATTACACTAGTTTTCTGTCATGATTTTTCAAATAGGTTTTCAAGTCCTTTCTCTTCTCCTTCTGGCACCCCTATAATGCAACTTGTTGGTATGGTTGAAGTTGTCCCAGAGGCTCCTTACACTATCCTCATTTTTTTTTATTCATTTTATCTTTTTGTTGTTCTGATTGGGTGTTTTTTCCTTCCATATATTCCAAATTCCTGATTTGATTTTCAGCTTCATTTATTCTACTCTTGATTCCCTATAAGTTATTAATTATTTCAGTTAGTGTATCCTTCATGTCTGACTGGTTCTTTTTTATGACTTCCATGTCCTTTTTTATGCTGTTGAAGTCCTCACTAAATTCATCTACTCTTCCCCTAAGTTCATTGAGCATCCTATAACCAGTGTTTTGAACTCTGTATCTAGTAGATTGGTTGTCTCCATTTTGTTTAATTCTTTTTCTGGAGTTTGGATCTATTCTTTCATTTGGGCCACGTTTGTTTGTCTCCTCATTTTGGCAGCCTCCCCATATTTGTTTCTATGTATTAGGTAGGACTGCTACATGTCCCAGTCTTGGCAGAGGGGCCTTATATGGTAGGTGTCCTGTAGAGTCCAGTGGCACAGTCTCCCCCACCCATCACCCAAGTTGGGTACTCGAGGTGACCCGCACGCTACCACATGTGGGCTGTGTGCACCATACTGCGGTAGTCACTGAGTTCTGATTGCTGTTATGTCAGTGGGAGGGATTTACCTCCCCCCCGAGGCCGATCAGCTGCAAGGACTGGCTGCAGCCACTACCAAGCACGATCAGCTGTGCAGGGGGCCATCCCACAGAGCAGCAGGGCTCTGGTGCCTGCTGAGTCTGTCTCTTGAGTATATCACTTGTAGAGGTGGTTGGGTAGTGCTTCGATGTGGTCTGAAGCTGTCCACTGGGTGCACTGGCTCTGGGGCCTCCAGGGCCATGAAGGCTGAGGTCAGCCACCACCTGTGTTCTGCCTGGGACACACAGTGTGAGCCACAAAGTGATCTGCTGTTGTCCGGTACTTGTACTGGGTTTGGTGATGCAAAGAAAAGACCATGCTGTGAACCAAGGCTGCCTGTTGCTAATGCTGGCCCTAGGGCCACCTAGCGAGAGATATGGTGCACACCAAGACCTGATGCTGCCTGTTTTAGAGATTTTAGGAACATCTGAATCATAAGCCAAGACAAGCCATTTGTATGGAAAAGGTACTGGAAACAGCTTGGTGGGCCCACAAGTAGGGTGGGGTAGGGTCTCAGGGAATCACCATGGCAAGTCGAACAGTGTTAGCCAGGTTGATGGAGACGCACGTGGTGCCCGCCTGCCCACTCTATGTAGGGGGCCTTGGAAAAGGAACAATGGCCTCTGCCAGCACTTCTCTCTGGGAGAAAGCTGCCCCTCCCGCCCCGTCCCCCAGAAGGTAGACTCCTTCCTGTTTGTCCCTGGTGCCTTTTTAGCTGCTATTCCAGTGCTGGAGCTCAAGCAAGTAAGTCCAAGTAAGTCCCTGTGTGCGCCCTCTAAGAGGAACTGCCTGGAACTACAGAAACCTCAGCCTCACTCAGCCACAATCCCTGTTGGTTTTTACAGCCAGAAGTTATGGGGGCTTCTCTTCCTGGCACTAGAACCCTGGGCTGTGGGGCCTGGTGTGGGGCTGGGACCCATTATTCTCAGGGGGGTAGTTCTGCAGCCTAGATGTTCCTCTCAATTTTTATCTGCCACACGTGGGTGTGGGACCAGCCCATTCTGCATCTTCGCCCCTCCTACCAGTCTCAGTGTGGCTTTATATCTTTAGTTGTAGGATTTCTGTTCAGCTACATTTCAGGGAGTTCTGAATGATGGTTGTCCTCTAGTTGAGTTGAAATTTGATGTGGTTGTGGAAGATGAGTACCGTGTTTACCTTCGCCACCATCTTGACTGGAAGCCGTATGTCAACATAATTTTTAAAAATTGTGACTTACACTTTTCATAGTTTCAGACTCACTCTGACATGGGCCAGTTTGAGGTAGGTTTTTCTGGGTCATGCGCTGCTAAAATATTTTATATTCTGTAAAAAGTAGGATTGGCGCTTCCATTGTAATAATACGGTTAACATTTTGTGCATAACTCATATGAAGATCGTCTCTGTTTTACAATAAAAGTAGATACTAGGTATACTCCAAAGTTAATCCTCACATTTTACCTTAAAGCTAAGACAAATCCATCCATTGAAATAGTGTAAATTAAAGTTACAACACATTTTTAAAAGGGTTAGAATTGTGTAATTTTTATCATCTAATTTTGGCTACAAGCTTTCATGGCGATAAAACTTCTGTATCATAATTCTTTTTATCTTATTTTTCAGGATCCTGGATGTTCGAGACTTCATTGTACAGTCCCGCCCTGAATTTGCAACTCTTGATTTTATTCTTGTGACTTCCTTCCCAAACAAAGAGCTAACAGATGAAAGCCTGACACTACAAGAAGCAGATATTCTTAACACCGTGATACTCCAGCAACTAAAGTAGTACTGCTCCTATCCATGCAGTAACAGAAGAGAGATAATGTGCCATATTTAATAAGGAAAACTTTCTTATAAAAATACCAAATTGTTTTTATTATTTATAGAGATACTTTTGAGTTTTATTCTTCTTCTACCCCCAGCCTTAGTATAGGTGAGTTTGGACTAGGAATAGATCTCGAGATAAATGTGTTTGAGTTTCTAGTTGTAGGGCTGGCTTATGTTCATAGCTTTTAAATATCCAGTCAAACCAATTTGTTACCTGCTCAATGTTAAAGTAACAACATTTGTTGGCAGAGAAAATGAACAAAACTCCATTTTGATAAATTCAGTAAAATTTGCACTAAGGTATCTTGATGCTGCATTGATCAAGAGCCACTAAGGAATCTTCTGATGAAATATTTTGAAATTTTTTCTGTAATACATACTAAAGAGTATCTGTATCCTGATTTTGAAATGCTTTGATCATACGATGATTATTTGTCCTATTAAGATATTATGCATCCTTTTTATTTACTGATTTAGTTATATTACTGTATCAAGAAAATAGTTTGGCCTTGTATTTTACAGAACTATGAACATCGTCACATAGAATCAGACATAAAGGTCAACAATCTTGAGATGTGGTAAATAGCACTTTAAAACAGAAATTATAACCCCTCTCAGAGCCTGCCAGATCATATTCACTGATCCGTGCCACACATTGTTCTAGGGCCGGGTCCCCACCCGCCAGGCCCCAGACCGGTACCGGACCATGGTCTGTTAGGAACCAGGCCACACAGCAGGGACAGACAGTGAAGCTTTCCCTCCAATACCCTGAGCTTCATCTGTCCTGGCCCGCCCCCGCCACCCCTCGCCTCCCACTTGTTCTTCCACAAAACCAGCCTCTGGTGCCAAAAAGATTGGGGACCGCTGTTCTACGGGACCCACTATAGATATTAAACACTACTCTAAGTGTCAAAACCAGAATGTATTCTACTCCAGAACAAAACAAGTGCAGAAATATAAGAATGTCAATTCTGTCAGGCTGACTGGATCTAAAGAACGACCAGTAGAAACGTTTGCATCTCTGCCGAAGCCAGGTATTTCCTGAATGAGGCAGGCTACATCAGGGATGGTAGAAACGCATTTTTTTCCTTCCCAGAGACCACTTCACCTTTGGTTACCCGTCCTGATTAATTTTCTATTGCTGCTGTTAACAAATTATTACACACTTGGTAGCTCCTAACAGCAAAGATTCATTACCTTCTAATTCTGTAGGTTACACTAGTCCCACTGGGCTAGTTATTTTTAAGGTGCTGACAGGACTGCATTTCTTTCTGGAGACTCTGGGAGAAGCATTTCCTGGCCATCTCAGCTTCTGGAGGCCACTTGGCATTCTTTGGCCTGTGGCCCTCTGTTCCCATCTCCAAAGCCAGCAACATTGTATCTTTCTGACTTTTCTCTGACATGACATTCCTGTGACAACAGCCAGGAAAGGTTCTCTGCTTTCAAGAACTCATAATTAGATCGGTCCACTAGGTAATCCAGGATAATTTTCCCATAATAAGGTCTATCATAACCTTAACCACAGCTTTAAAGTTCCTTTTACCAGTAAAGGGACATACTGCAGGTTCCTTCTGGAGGCTCCAGGTGTGAATCTGGTCCTTGCCTCTTCCAACTTGAAGAGGCTGCTGGCAGCCCCTCACTTAAGGGTTGTAGTCCTCTCTCTCCGGTCTGCTTCTGTTCTTCCCTCTTTTACTACCAACTTAAATTCTGCTTTTATAATGATCTTTGTGTTTGCATACATTTAGTTTACAGAGATAATCCATGATAATCTCATCTCAAAATGCTTAATATAATGACATCTGCAAAACTCACAGTTTTGGAGATTAGAACATAAACATTTAAGGGGCTAGGGGCTGGGGACTCTATTCACCACAGTTTACTCCTGTCTCAAAAATTCACATCCATCCCAAAAAAGTCATCCCATTCAGAGGTGCTCAAGTCCTAGACCATTACAGCGTCAACTTCAAATGCAATATCTTATCTGAATCTCACTCAAAAATGCCAAATCTCACTTAAATCATCTAATTTGGGTATGAGTGAGGATCTATGTGATTACTGAACCACAGTTCCTCTCCATCTGTGAGCCTAGAACCAATTATTTTCTCCCAAATATGAAGGTAGGACAGGCATAGAGTAAGTTACAGATATTCCTGTTCAAAAAATCAAAACGTAATGAGAGAAGGAGGCACCAGTGTCAAGCGACTTAGAAGTTTAGAGAGGTGCACTCTGTTGGGTCTCTGAGTCTAGAAATTGTCTTCTGTGGCTGACAGCACCATCCTCTAGGATTGTGGCTTCCTCTCAGAGTCCTTGACTCTTTTGTGAAACGTGGCACATGTTTGCAGCTGAGGAGTTTTGTCAAGTGTTTTGTCTGGAATTTTGGGAGGTCCGATCATCCATTTCATATATACTATACCTTTTAGAGGGCAATGTCTGTTGGAATAACATCACAAAATGGATCTTCTGTGTATGTTACAGGATTCACTAGACTAGGGGCTCCTCCATATGTTTTTCCCTAAAATAAATAACCCCATCTCTGATTTTTGTTCTGAGATGGCTGAGAGGATCTGTGAGTTACACTCTTAATCTCTTCAAAGAGCCTTTTGTGTGACTGAGTACTCAGGCCTTTTTTTTATCTTTCTTAAGAGGTATTAGCAAAAGTAGTACAGCTACCCTCTTGTCTCTTTCCTTGGATCAGGCTTTCCTGAATCTGTTAATTTTAATGTCTTTTGCCATTTGGGTAGGCTAAGAATTTTCAAGTTTTCAAGTCTTCAAATCCTATTTTCCTTATATCTAACAGTACTTGCTTCAGTTTATCTCCCCTCACGTTTTACTCTAATCTGCAAGAAGGAAGCAGGCTTCGCCTTCCACACTTTGCTTAGACATCTCTTTAGCTAAATATATTATTACTTCCAATTTCTGCTTTCCACATAACTAAGTGCAGGGCACAATTCAGCTAAGCTTTTTGCTACTGTCTATAATCTCTTTTCCTTTAGTTTCCTACAGCATGTTTCCCCACAGCCCTCCGAGCCCTCACTGCAGTACCTTTAATGTCCTTGTTTCTCCTAACAGTCCACTCACAACAACTGAGATATTTTCAGTGGCAATTCTCTACCATGTGACTTCCCTCCTTGGAGCCCTCACTAACAGTGTTAAGGCCGTCTTGGCTTTTTCTGTTATGCTACTAAAATGTCTTCCACCCTCTACTCACTGCCTGGTTTCAAAGCTGCTTCTGTAATTTTATTTATTTTATTTATTTATTGTGGCAGCACCTCACTCCCAGGAATCTAGAAAAGTCTTTTTTTTTGCCTACTTGCTGTCAGTTGGCTTGAATGTGCCAATAAGAGATTCGGAATTCACCTTTCTTGGGGGTGTGTGGTTATTTTAAGGTAGTGGATTTACCTGTACTTGGGGTTTTAATACTAGGAGGGCTCCCGGAAATTCTACAGAGAGAAGTGTAGGTCCCACCACCACAAAGAAATTTTTTTCTGAGTGTCATAAAGTAGAATATGAAGATGATTCCTAAGTCTTCTCCTCAGAATAGGACACCCCGTTTCTTTACACTCATTGAAAACAACTTGGAGGATATATAATCATTCAAAAAGTCAATCTCAGTTCAAAAAGATGACCAGGGATATACTACATTTTCTCAGGAGCAAAATCATCTTCCTAAGAAAATAATCTATTAAATGAGTGTTTTACGTAAAAGAGCTTAGCCCTGTTTTGGAGTAACAAAATGGAAAAAAAAACCCAAACCCTGTAAAATGACGTGAAGTCGTGTTCTTGTTTATTTTTATCAACTGTGTGCACATACAAAACAACTGCCATTTTTGTATATAGTAGTCTTCCAAAACACAGAGATTTACATTAGGAGAAAGAATTCAATATCCAGAAGGGATGAGCAAGATTTACATGAACTATGTAGTATTTTGCTTTACTTAAGAGTCATTTTCCTCATTTCTTTTTACTTCTACAGTCAAAGTAACTTTTAAAATCTATCATCATCTCAAAAGGATTTGTCACAATGACCAGTTAGACAACCATGTGTGAAATCAGTTGTTTTGCATGACATGTAATCAAAAACTTTTCAAGTGTCTGCTTACCAATAAAGAATGTTTTCACAGAAATTCATTGAAAATCCTTTTCAAAATTTCCTTCATTTGCAGTTATTTGAGTGACTTAATAGAATATTTTAAACCTGAGTAACATTTCCTGTGGTGCCTCTTTTTGACGGGCGGAGAAGAAACTGAGTTGTAGCAATGTAATCTCCATTTCCCATTACTGCTTGTGTTTTTATTCTACCAAAATAAAGGTGCAAATTTTTCTCAACATTTTGCCACAATAGATTTCTGAAAACCTTGTCACAGCCTATGTTGTTGATAAAGTGCATCATGTTTTCCCTTTGAATTTTTGTCCCTGATCAGTAATGCAAAAAAATTCAGTGATTTGAAGATCTGATTGGCTTTTTTGAGAAATTCATGGATCGGGCAGCATCTCATCTAAGAAATAGAGAGGAGCTCCAAAGGGTACAGAAAGGGGAAGGTATTTAAAGGCAAGACAAAGAAGTCAAAACAAGGTTATTTCAGGTCAAGGCAATGTACCTATGGGGGGCAGATGGAGTCTACGTGGTAGATTACTTCATCTGCCTGTGAACAAAAGGAAGGGCTGTGTAATAAACCTGGCAAGCTCAGGAGGTCACATGGCACACCTGACAAGCTCAGTGACCAAAAGTAACCACACAGGGTGCTCTGAGCACAAATTCTGGACTCAGCAGGTCATAGCCGGTAGTTAACCGCCCAGGCCTGTTTCTTAGCAAAGGTCAATCTTTACCTTTGCCATGTGAGCCCTTTCCATTGTTCTTATGAATCTAAAATAACATACCTTAGATATGTCAAAGTAGTTTCCTTTTACAGGCTTCTCGGGGCACAAACCCACCAGAGTGAGAACACAGAACCCCTTGTCTTGTTCCCCAAATGCCATCTGTGTGTGCTGTAAATGTTAGTTATTAACTATCTAGCATCCACCTATGTAGAAGAAAGAAATACATAGAAGAAAGAAATACGTGTTTCCCCATTTTGCTTTTTATCCAGTCCTAGAGATTTCCCTGCTTTGCTTTCTCCAGTGTCATTAATGTGTCACCAATGGACTCCATGTACCTTCCTTAATGTTTTTTTCTTTGATTTTAAATGCATAAAAGAAACTGCAGAACTATAGTTCTCTGAAGCATTTTCTCAATATGTTGAGATCTTGCTTGCAGGCATATCCTCAAAATTTGGCTCAAATAAACCTTTTGTAAAATTCTTCTATAGGTTTCAATGTTCTGTTATCTATAT